GATTAATGATTTTACGATTAAAAATTTATATTTTTAAAAAATTGTAGCAATTTTGAAAACTTTTTGTAATACGAATCGTATAATATAAAAATAAAATAGAATAATATTTCAAAATTTGTAATGTTATATTTGAATATATTTATTTTAAGGATGATTTATGAGTTATTACCATATTTTATTTTTTTACCATAAATAAATATCAATATTAAATGTAAAGTATGCGTTATTACCATATTTAAAAAATTTACCAAAATTATAAATCAACATTAAATGTAATTACACATGTCATATTTTTCAATAAGCTATGTCATCAATTTTAGTAGCCATGTCACATTTGTTTTGTAAACTGATTGTAGAGATGTCATGTGGCAAAATCACTTCACAAATAATATATAAGGGTTTTGAGAAGTAAAATTGCTGATTTGTCAACTTCTCTATGATTTTAGGCAATTTTGATTATTTGTCATGTTTTTATGATTTTATATAGAATATTATATAATTAAACCAAATTTATATTAATAATATTATATATTCAGAAAAGAAGATCAATCTTATGTTGTTATTTATGAAATATATTTCCTATTTGAGAAGTAAATTTTCTAATTTGTCAACTTCTCCATATCTAAACCCTAACGCTGATTTTAGGATTAGAGTTTAGATTTACGTTTAGGGTCTAAGGTTTAGAATTTAGGGTTTTGTTGATGGTGTTACTATCGACGTCATCCTTTAGTGTGTTTGTGTTTAGGGTTTAAGATTTGAATTTAAGGTTTAGATACCATTTTAGGGTTGAGTTTTTGATTTAGGGTTTAGGGTTCAGTTGACGGTGTTTTTTTAAAATTAATTCTTTTAGGGTATGGATTTAGAGTCTAGGATTTGGATTTATGGTTTAGATTTAGGTTTTAGGACTTAGGGTTTACTTGATGGTGTGACGATGTCACTCTCGAAGTCGTTCCTTTTGGTTTGGGTTTAAGATTTAGGTTTATGGTTTAGATTTAGTTTTAGAGTTAATGATTTAAGGTTTAGGGTTCAGTTGACGGTGTTAGTGTCGAAGTAGTTCCTTTAGGGATGGGATTAGGGTCTAATATTTGGATTTAGGATTTAGATTTAGGTTTAGGGTCTATAGTCTAAGATTTAGCTGATGACGTTAATGTCATTATCACAATGTCGTTCTTTTTTTTTGGAACAATTTTTATATATTTAATGTCAATATAATTTTTTTAATTAACTTTTTTTAATTAATATGACATGTCATTTTGATTTGAATTTTTACCATTAGGGGTGAACCTAAGTTTTGTTCATTTCAAAAATAACCTCATACAACTACAAAACAATACTTAGGTTCACCTCCTATGGTGAATGTTTAAATTTACCTTACTCTTAACTATGTGTTTGAGCCCGCATATGTGAACATAATTTTCTTACGAATACTTATTAATTTATGTTATATTAATTCAGAAACCAGCATAATAATAAGTTATTATTTATGTTTTTAAAAAGTTAATTTAATTATAAATGATAACACTTATTTATCAGAAATATTTTAAAAATATTTATACAATTGGTTTTGTTAGATTTATATTTAATTATAATTTTGATATATAATTTTTAAATTTAGAATAGAAAATATATAAAAACATAAAGAATAAGAATTATTTTATTTTTTAAAATAATAATATTAAACTAAATTCATTTTAATTATATAAGAAATCATAGTAAAAATTATTAAAAACATGATAAATAACCAAATTATCTACAATCGTGGAGAAGTTGACAAATTAGTAAATTTATTTCTCAAATAGTAGTAAAGGTAAATTTTATAACAGAAAATATATATTCATGATAAGAACATAAAACATAAGAAATATATTATTTTCTAAAAATATAATATTATTAATATAAATTCGTTTGTATATAATATATATATATATATATATATAATTTTTAAAACATGACGAATAAGTAAAATTACCTAAAATCCTGGAGAATCTGATAAATCAGCAAATTTACTATACTCATATATCAGAAATTTAGAAAATATATTTATACAAATATTTTTACTTGATTTATATTATATTATAATGTTTATATCTAAATTTTTAAAATTTATAATAAAAAATATTTTTAAGATAACATGAAGAATAAGAATTATCTTATTGGGTTTAGCATCTATGATTTATAATTTAGGATTTATGGTTTAGCCTACATCGTTAATATCAACACCATATTTTTAGAGTTTAGGTTTAGGGTTTAATGTTTGGTTTAAGGATTTAAGTTTAGGTTTAGAGTTTAAAACTTATGTTTAGGGTCTAGATTTTAGGGTTTAATTGATGGTGTTAACATTGTTATTATCATCATACTTATCTAAGTATTTTCTGTTTTTTTAAAAAAAAAATTTAATCTTTTTTTAACTAGTATGACATGTCGCTTTGATTGGTGACAAGAGATTGGATGAATTTGAAGGTTCACAGTACGCACAATAAACCTATGTTTTGTTCTTTTGAAATCCTTTGTTCCATTAATATAGATTAATGTCCTATTATCATTTATTTTTGCTAAGAAGAGAACATACATTTATGTATTAAAACTCTTACTGAAGATTTGTGAAACTAAATAGAAATTTATATATTACAAACTTAAATACAATCTAAAACATACTTCTGCCCTCTTATAAAAAAATAATAAATAAATCTAAAACATACCTTTTTGCTAAGAAGAGAACATACATCTTATATATTAAAACAGAAGTCATGACTTGACTTCATGTGTGATTTTTTTTTTAAATAGACTATTACTAGAAAGTCATGTTACATTAACTCCTTAATAATCTTATCATTATTATACCTTATGAAAAATGATATCTATAATAACAAAGATACACTTAACAATTTGGTTTTGGTAAATTATCCCCACACCTTCCAACTTAGTCACACAAAATATGTCAATAGATATAAGTTTAGGAATCTTCTATTATTTATAAGGAAATATGTCAATAATAGTTAAATGCATCCACAATATATTACCAAAAATCACAGATTCGTAATATGGAATATTTATATAGCCTAACAAATTTTACACGCTATATATACTAGATAAATTTATTTCGACGTAAAGTTTTGAAACTATATTGTTTTAAAAAAAAAGAAATTGTTTAAAAAATTCCTTTTTAATAATTTTTTTTATAATAATAATTTTAGTTTTTAGCAAAAATTTCTTCGAAGTTTATATTAACTTTGCAAATTAAAGTATACTAATATTTAATCAAGCTCTATTTATATTACTTTATCTAAAAATGAAATACCAATCTAACAAACAATAAAATATAGAAGAAGAAACAAACACATGTTTGAAAAACATGTATAATATAAAAAATTTGAAGCAATCTATTTGATTAAAACACGTATTAAATAATATTATTATGTTTGAAAAACATTTATTATATATCGTAAATATGTGATTACTATAATATATACCAATTTACAAGTGAAAACAAAATGTTTATATAACTAACTATAAACGAAAACAAACATCCGCGCAATCAAAATCTAATTTATATATTAAAACTCTTATTGAAGAATTTATAAAATAACATGATTATTATCTTACGATTATTGTAGGGTAATTGTCATGATTGTCTTGATTGACAATCTTTAACAAGAATGATCAAATTCTCATAGCTATATAACACATGAAAGAATTGTTCACACTTGTATTTGACACCCGAAGCCTTAATTTTGGCCTTGTCTTGATCAAAAGATGGACTGTCACACCTTTCAAATGGCTTACGCGGAGTTGATCGCGATAAAAATCACTCCACTAGGTAGGTTCATCATGAATCTCAGAGTGCAGTTTATTGGTTTCTCATTATCTTTCATTTTATCTTTATTGAATTAAAATACACTTTTTGGGTCCATTATGCAATTTGATTTTGTAAAATCTCACTCTCCGGTTTGAGCTCCCTTCTCAAATCTCTAGTTTACAAAACTTTTGTTATCGGTTTACAAAACTTCCACCGATAACAAAAATTCATTTTTCTTATATCACTACAGTAAATTATACTATCAGTGTTATAAAAAAAACTACTGTAAATTTGATTATCTTAAGTATCAAATCCCGTACTCATTTAATTCATTCATAAATAAATATATCTTACCCATATATGTATATGAATGCATGTATGTATTTATTGGTTGCTTGAATCAATGCATCAAGTTAACAAAACAGATAGAAAGCTTGAAACTTAGAGAAACGAAGCAAATCAGAAAGAACCGGAGGTCAGAGATAGGCACATGGGCAGAAAAACCCCTAACCTTGGCCATTGGCTAGTGCATGGCATATTCATATGCATGTATTAACCTCATATGAATATATGATCCATATTCTTGTGTAATTTCATATCACTCTGTGCATTATTCCTCTTTGATTCTTATTAATCAATTACTATCTAGGCCATATGGATATGATCCATGTTGAAGATCCCCATACCCAGGCCATATGATTCTTTAGCTTAAAGAGCAATCAAAAGTTGAATACGTCGTTAATGATACTAGTAGTTTAGTGTTTAAATTTTTTTTGGGATCGTGCAAAAACGATAATAAGTCAACAAGGCGTATATACACATGGTGAAGTCGATTTTACGCAAGTGTACCACACGCTGCAACATAAGGCGCGTTACATATATTATATTAAACTAAAAGTCATAGTAATCCCCGGCGAGTCTTGCTTTTTACGATAGCTTTTTGAGCATCTCCGGCGGCGTGGTCACCGGCCGTCAACACCATCATCATCAATAGCAACATGCATCATCATACTTTTTTCTTTTCTATTTCAATTTCTGGATTATTATATGATGATTTTGCAACTTTTATATACCATTTATTTAGCTCCGTTGACAATTAACGTGTAAGTGTGTGTATATAAGTATAATCAAGAAGTTGTAGCTGCTTAGAAAGAACGGCAGTGCTTAAATATTGTGAAGCACAATCACGAAAACGTAAACCGAAATGGGTTCTTCGTCCAACGGAGGAGTGCCACCTGGGTTTCGGTTTCATCCGACAGACGAAGAGCTTCTCCATTACTACCTAAAGAAGAAAATCTCTTATCACAAGTTCGAGATGGAAGTTATCAGAGAGGTTGACTTAAACAAGCTCGAGCCTTGGGATTTACAAGGTATTATTTACTTTTTTTTTTTTGATCAAACTCAAGGCATTATTTACTTATTTAACTCATTTCAAGAAAATATGAAAAGTTATTGCGTGTTATGATTATGAATCTCAACTTCATACCAGTTTCACTAAATGTTGATTTATTTTGAGATAAAACTCGTAAATCTTGATAGCTCTTCCATTTTCTAATTATCGGATATATCCATTAGCATTTGTTTTAAATATTCTCTAACTTCGTATTCTTTTTTTTTTTAACGCAGAGAGATGCAAGATCGGGTCAACTCCGCAGAACGAATGGTATTTCTTCAGCCACAAGGATAGGAAATACCCGACGGGGTCAAGGACCAACCGTGCTACTCATGCAGGGTTCTGGAAAGCAACAGGACGAGACAAATGCATAAGGAATTCTTAGAAGAAGATAGGAATGAGGAAGACACTTGTGTTCTACAAAGGAAGAGCTCCTCATGGCCAGAAGACTGATTGGATCATGCATGAGTATCGGCTTGAAGATACTGATGATCCTCAAGGAAACACTAGTGTATGTTTTTCATTTGAGAATCTTTGCAAAATTTTAGACTATAATCTAGACAATATCATTACGAAATTATACCATATATAATTATCATCAGAACCATCTTTTAGGCGATTTACGGGTGTTTTGGTGTATAAATTACGGCTTTAGACTATTTTCTATACTTGATGTCAAAAAGAAAACATTTTCTATACGTATATACATATGATACTAAGGTTCTTGGTTTCTACAAAAAAGTTGTGCAACATTTTCATTAAAAATTGCGAACTTACAATAGTTTGAGACAGCGATGTATATTATGATGCGTTCAATTCATTAATTGGTTAGTAACTTGGTCTTTTGTGTTTAATACATTTGCTACATTATTTGATCTTGTAGGAAGATGGATGGGTGGTTTGTAGGGTATTCATGAAGAAGAATTTGTTCAAGGTAGTGACTGAAGGAGGTTCAAGCATTAACTCAACGGACCAATACAACCATGATGCCTCCAACAACAACAACACGCTCCAAGCTCGTAGCTTCATGCACCGAGAGAGTCCTTACCAGCTAGTACGTAACCACGGAGCCACGACCTTTGAACTCAACAAGCCTGACCTTACACTTCATCAATACCCACCAATCTTCCACAAGCCACCTTCCCTTGGATTTGAATACTCTTCAGGGCTTCCAAGAGACTGCGAAAGTGCGGCTAGTGAAGGGTTACAATACCAGCAAGCGTGTGAGCCCGGTTTGGAGGTTGGCACGTGCGAGGCCGTTGCTAGCCATAACCATCAACAAGGTTTAGGTGAATGGTCAATGATGGATAGGATTGTGACTTGTCATATGGGAAATGATGATTCTTCTAGAGGGAATAGGTTTGAGGGTGGTAACAACAATTCTTCGTCTGTTGTTCAGCCAGTTCATGAGACGAATCAGCTTTCGTTGCGCAGTGAGATGGATTTCTGGGGTTATTCTAAATAGATGTTTATATATCTTATCACTATGTTAGTGTTGGTGTGTGTGTTCTTTATTACATGTTTTAATTACTGCATTTTTTATGTTTGGAAGCAAATTGCTTCACAGAACTCAAATATATATATATATATTTATTATTGTTGGAATAATAAATAAAAGATTGATTAGTTATTGTAATACTCATGTATGTTATTTTCTTAGGATTTCTTAGGACCATTGGAATATATCAAGAAGATGCAAATGGAAGTTTGTTTTCACAATGGCAATAGAAATTGTCATCAAACAAAGTGTACAAACCATCTTCGAAGCTCTTTATAAACTAGAAATGGCTTAGAGAGTAGGAGCTCTCTCAGCGGTTCCAGCGATGACGGTAAGCAAATTGTTTCCAAAAGGATCAGTGAGATGCTTTGAAAGGTTCTCAACAGGACCCTCTTCAGTAACATAAGCTTGGATGAAGAAACCGAGCATCGCAAACATGGCTAATCTCCCGTTCTTGATCTCTTTAACCTTGAGAAGAGCTCCTTGTTCAGGGTCCTTAGCAAGTCCCAAAGGATCAAATGGACCTCCTGGATGTAGCTTGTCCTCAAAATCCTGCCAAAGTTTTTGCATTACAAGTTTAGTTGTTTTCCACATGATGAATTTAAAATTAGTATAATAGCTAAATTGTCGAGTAATGTACCAATCCGTTGGTGATTCTGTAGTACTCGGCTCCACCGAGGAGAACAACCTCAGCAACTACGGCGAGAACAAGGTTGATTGGGATGTTCTTGCCAAAGTAGTTCAATGTGTTTCCATCAAGAAGCAGAGCACCAGTCTGTATCCATCACGTAACACATTTCTAGCATTGCCATATAGAATTTAAATAAAACGAAGTTTCAAAAAGATGAGAAGTAGCCAAAAAAAAAAAACCTTGAACCAGACGGCTTCAGGACCACAGTTAGCGCCGTATTTGTTTAAAGCTTCAGGGATGATGAAACCAGCTGCTCCCAACATAGCCCATCTCGCGTGGATCAACTCAAAGGCTTGGTATCTGGGAACCACATTCATTACAGAACCAGTCTTAATGACATTGTTCACATTTGACAGATAGATATTGAAATAAAGAAACAGGTTTAGAGCAGCGAATTTGCTTACTTAGCAAAGTTCTCAGGCTTCTTGCCAAGTCCAAATGGGTCATAGCCATAGCTGCAATTCAGATTCCATACCAATAAGTCATACGGATCGAAGCCAAAGTAATGATACAAACAGAGACATGAAGAAGTGTCTTACTCTCCAGCAACTTCACCGTTTAAGTACTCTGGGATCTCTGATCTGTCCAAAAGACCATCCGGCAAGAAAATTCTCCTGTCAGGACCTGTGAACCCACATTCACAAGAAGATTGATGGAGTTAGTAAGATGAAAAAGAGAAAGATTTTGAACGGGAAGCAGTCAGGAACATACCATACCACTTGGCGAGCTCATCGTTAGCAACAGAGACGGTCTTGGCCTTGGCAGGAGCTGGCTTTTTCTTGGAGAAGAGAGCAACTGTCTTGACGGTAGCCGGGTTCGATGCCAATGGAGCAGACGATCTTGACACTGCCCTGAAGTTAAGGGGTGTACCAAGCATTTTCGAAACACCCAAAGACGCCATCTTTTTAGACCAAAGTGTAAAGCTGTTTTAAGACTAGGATAAACGTACTATAAAGTGAAAGGAAGGAAGAGACGAAGCTGGTACTATAAGGTAGGGAGTAAGATTCGTTCAGGCTTTTGATTGGTTCAAATTGAAGATGAGAAATATGATTATGTTCTCTGATTGGTTGTTATTTCTGACGTGGCTCATAGATTGGTCTTTGTTGGATAATCTGTCTATCTCCATATCTTCTGTGTTCTTTTTGTGTGGTTAAGCCTTATCTATAGTGCAAAACAGGAGGAGTTATTTTGTTCATCAAAAGAAGCTGGCATGAAAAATAAATGGATATCAAAGGAGTACTCCGGAGAAGACGATATCAAAGAAACAGAAAATGGTCATGAACAATAGCTGGAGCCGTGAGAGAAAAGGAGCATGTGGAAGATTGAGCTTGTCTAATCTGAAACATTTTCGAGTTTGAGTTATGTTTCTGTAATAAAAAAAAAATAAATAAAAAAATTTCAGAGGCATAGAGATGATGCATTACCTAAGGTCATCAAAGAGGAGAACACATGCTTGGTGTTCATGCTGCGACGAGGTATGAGATCGTTTAGAAACACAAGAACTTTGACTGATAATCAAAGATTCTACAAAGGCTGAAGTTGGTCCAAAGGAAATCATCAAGATTGTCGCACAAGAAATCTCATGGAAGCAGGAACAAGCTAAAAGATGAAGAGGAGCTTGATATTACCTGAGATTACATGAGCTAGTGGCGTCGGAAAATGATGCCAAAGGATTTGGCGAATGGTCATAGAAGATGACTAGAGGGTGTGATTTCTTATGAATAATTACATCCAATTTTCACTATCAAAGGAAGAATTAAAGGGGTTAGAGTTCAGTCAACAATTACTTGTGATAGAGGAGGAACTCAATCGTACCTAAGGTTGCCATAGGGACGTCGCCGTCGCAATTGGGTTTTACGGAATGGGAAGCTTTGATCGGGGAAGAAGGCGTGAGGGAGAGTCGCGAATCTCTCTCAAGTCGTCTGAGCCGAAGATGGAGGTGCTTCCCCGGAGGACGATGGCGGCATGTTCGCCGGAGAATATCTGAGTTGCAGGTTCTGATCAGAATGCGTCTGAGACGAAATTAATCTCGTCCTGCTTGAAGAGAAAGGCCACAAAGGCTAGGAGCCAAAGGTGAACAGTGAACAGGGAATTGCAGGATTCCATCGAGAAGTACCTAGCTAAAATTTCACCGCCGAAGATAAAGATGCTTTCAGAGTGATCACCGGAGTTATCACAGATGCAATTTGCAGGTTGTGTCGTTATCGAGGAAGACGATGGGATTCATGGTTCGACAAAGATGATTAGACACGAAAGGTGATGAATTCATCAGAGGTAACCGCCGGAGTTTGCTGGCGTTGGCTGGAATATCGCTTGAGAAGCTATTAAGATGCTTATGAGTCGAATTGGAAAGGAGTTGGTTCGTCTGAGAACGTCGGAGTAATCCCTAGAGAGACTGGATTTAATGGTTGATAAAGATATTGGGCTTAAGGTGGAGATTATTAAAAATAGGCCCAAATCTATCTAATTCAAGCCTAAGACAAAATAGATCCAGCAAGTATTTGCATGCTTATTTCCTTTTCCGGCAAGAAACATTAAGATCGGTAAAGCCTATTGAGTTAAATTGTTAAAGCAATTAGGAAAATGAAGACTAAGGACGGTGGACAAGGTTATAAATAGAGATTGGTGGTGGAAGCTAAGAGTATCATCCGAAACACAAGACCAAAAGAGAGAGAGAGCTAAAGAGAGATCGGGTTAGAGAAGAAACTCAAGGCGAGAGACATTGTTCGAGTCATGTCTCTAAGGGATAGAGTTTCTTTGATCTTTCTTAAGTCTTTGTTTTGTCTTCCTATTGAGCGTTTAGAGCGTATGTGTAAACCCTTTGATTGATAGTGGATGTTGTGGGAGACGGTTCCCACCCGAGATGTACCGCGCTAGAGGCCGGGAACTCGGTGATCAAATTCTCTGTGTTATAGAATTAAGTAATCTAACGATCGAGAATTCTTAACAGGTAAAATATAAGATCAACTAAGGCATATTCGTTTATTAACGTAAACCAAAAAGTCAAACTAATCGATATAAGAGTTACCAAACTGAATCGAATAACTATAAAACCTAATTATCCCAGAGGATATCAGTGTGTCTAAATGCAAGCTCTTTACATTTTTAAAGGATAAGTTACAGAATCGAGTTAATGGATGGACAGGTAGATGATTATCAAAAGTTGACAAGGAGGTCATGATCAAGTCGATTCTACTAGCATTGCCAAATTATGTAATGTCCTGCTTTCTCTGCCAGTGGAGATATGTGATGCCTTAGCTAGTGCCATTGCACAGTTCTGGTGGAGTTCAAACACCCCAAAAAGAGGCATTCATTGGTCCACTTAGGACAAATTGTGTTTATCTAAAGAGGAAGGCATGATTGGTTTCAGGATGATCCATGAATTTAATCTGGCTTTGCTAGCAAAGCAGTTATGGAGGCTGGTACAACACCCAGATTATCTGGTTGCTCATGATTTGAGGGGTCGGTATTACCGATTAAGCTCGCCGTTGCGTCAGCTTGCTGTTAGCAGCCCATCATATGTGTGGACAAGTTTATCGGCGGCACGCGAATTACTTTTACTTGGTGTTCGACATAAGATTCATTCAGGCTATGAGGTGAAAGTATGGGAGGATCCTTGGATTCCTACTATACCAGCGAGACCGGCATTCCCATCGGCACCGGTATTGCATCCAAACATGAGAGTAAGCGACCTCATTAACCAAGAGACTAGGACTTGGGATGCGATGAGACTGGAAAATTACGTAAATGCTGCTGATATATCTCTCATAAGGAGTATGTCAATTATTCTACACATCGCAGGGACACATATTGTTGGAACTATACAAGGAATGGACAATATACAGTCAAATCTGGATATTGGGTTGCACGGAATATTCTCAAACAGGAAGAGGAGCCTGTAGTTAGTGAACCTGGTATTACTAAACTACAAGCACAAGCTTGGAAGGTACAAGCTCCCCAGAAGATGTGCCATCTTATGTGGTAATTAATAACATGTCATGTGGCTGTTACGAATACTTTAAATTATAGACATATAAGGTGCGACAATTACTGTCCACGATGTGGAGAACCTGAAGAATCCATTACACATGCTATTTTCCTGTGTCCACCTGCTAAACAAGTTTGGGCCTTATCGTCCATGCCTACTAGCCCTACTTTGTTCCCAGTACAGAGCACATATGCGAACATGGACTATCTCTTTTGGAGGAAGAACACCATAGCAGAACCGGACTTGGAGATGGATCCTTATCCATGGCGTATATGGTATATTTGGAAGGCTCGAAATGACAAATTGTTCAAGGGAATTGATAGAGACCCATTGGAGTTAGCCAGATATGCAGAGAGTGAATGCCAATTCTGGTTCAAAGCAAATGAACAGATTTCCCTGTCCTCGCAAGGAAACACGGATGATGATTATCAGGCCATAAGTCTGGGTAATATTTGTATGGTAGATGGCTCCTGGACCTCTACAGCTCAGTTCAGTGGATGTGGATGGGTTTTGAATGATCATATGGGGAATAGTCAGCTGATGGGAATGCGCAACTTTGATAGAGTGGAGTATGCTTTGCACTCTGAGCTGGAAGCACTGCGGTGGGCAATGGAGAACATGCTTCAACATTCGTCATGTCAGAGTTTTGGGACAGACTGCAAGAAAATGATAACAATGCTTCAGAGTCCAAAAGATTGGCCTAGCTTCTCAACAGAACTGGAAAATCTCATGACATTGCAGATTTGTTTTCGTGATTTTAAGATTTTCTATGTTCCTAGGGCACATAATGGATTTTCCGCTTCCCTAGCTAAGACTGCTCGATCTTTCTATCGAGAATTGGTGTTTGTTGGTTGTTCTATTCCGGTCTGGATTCCCAGACCACCTCAAGCTTGAGTAATAGATCAGCTGTTCGTTGTCAAAAAAAAAAACTATAAAGCCTTATTTTTTATATATAAAACTCAGACCGAATGGATGCAAAAATATCCGACGTTTTATATATCCAAAATATTATGTACCCAAATTTTTAATCAGTTATTAATCGATTGAATGTTATTGTCCCAACCAAATCCCAAACCTAACTAATATTAAACCAAAAGTGAATTTCGTTAATATCCAAACGATTTATATGTTTTATAGTTAAAATACTTGAGAACAGAATGACCAAACGTCAATGACAAGATCAACATTGTTTAATCCGAAAATGGTGTTTGGATTTATACATCAAGATTTTTAATGTGGGCTTACGAGAAGTCTTCATAATGAGATGGAATTGAGAAAAAGAGAAGAAAATAAATTATATGGATTAAAGATTTGATTACAAAGATAATGTTAGCTTGATGTAAATCTAAGAATCTATAAAAGTCTCTCTCTAGAAGTATTTTTTAGTATAAGAAGAAAAACTCCAATCCTTAACAAAGAGGAGGTCTCTCCTTATTTATACAAGGATGTGTCTAGGGTTCCCTAGTGAGATGAACCTTTGTTCATTGTCTAATGGTCCTTTGTTGGGGGTGAAAACCCACTCCAACAGTAAGTCCCCCCGCAGTTCGTTTAGAGAAATGCAATTGATCTCTGCGAATTTTACGAAAAGGGTTTATGAGACAATTAACTCAGCCCATAATCATTTCATGGACGAGTTGTTATGGACGGGTTGTCATGGTTAGGTTTTCATGACAATGTCTATGACAAACTGTTTCGGACGAGTTGTCGTGGACGTCTTCGGATTCCAATCGGGCTTACGGGAAGGTTGCGCGAACGAGCTGTGTGGACAGTGTTCTAAACCACCCGAACGAACCGCCATGAATGAAGTGTCAATAGACTAGCTGCCAAAGACAAGTTTCCATAGACATCATCATGGATGAACCACCATGGACAAACCGTCATAATCAAACCGTCATGAGATGGACCATGCCGAGTTGAATCCTAACAAGGACGAACTTTATGTCGCCGAGAAGAAGCCTGACGAGGAAATTCTGGAAAATGCCGAACTGGACCTTGCTGAGGACGAATTGGAAGGTGCCGAATTGGACATTGCCAAACTAGATCTTGCCGATGATGAATTGGAAGGTGCCGAACTTGACTTTGTCGAGGACAAACTAGAAGGTGCCGAACTGGACTTTTCCGAGGACGAACTGGAAGATGTCGAACCGGACCTCGCCTAGTTGGATCCTACCAAATTGGATCATGCTAAGCTGGACCCTGCCGAATTGGATCTTGACAAGGACGGCCTGAAAAATGCCGAGAAGAATTACGGTGAGGACTGACGGGAAAGTGCCGAACTGGACATCGCCTAGTTGTATCCTGCCGAATTGGATCCTGCACAACTGGACCCTGCTGAATTGGATCCTGACAAGGACGGCCTGAGAAATGCCAAGAAGCATTACGACAAGGACTGACTGGAAATGCCGAACTCGACTTCGCCTAGTTGTATCCTCCCAAATTAGACCCTGCCGAGGAAAATTTGGAAGGTGCCGAATAGACCATTGCCGAGGACAAATTAGAAGGTGCCGAACTGACCTGCGAACGATCTAGAAGGTGCCGAACTGGATCTTGCCGAGGACGAATTGGAAGGTGCCGAACTCGACCTTGCCGAGGACGAATTGGAAGGTGCCGAACTCGACCTTGCCGAGGACGAACTGGAAGACATCGAATTAGACCTCGCCGATGATGAACTGGAAGATGTCAAAGTAGACCTCGCCTAGTTGGATCCTGCTGAATTGGATCCTGCCGAACTAGACCTCGCCTAGTGTGATCCAGCCGAATTGGATCCTGCCGAACAGAACCCTACCGAGGAGGATGAACTGGAAGGTGCCGAACTGGACCTTGCCGAGGACGAAAATGGAAGATGTCCAACTAGACCTCGTGGAGGACGAACTAGAAGATGTCGAACTAGACCTCGCCTAGTTGGATCCTACCGAATTGGACCTTGCCGAGGATGAACTGGAAGGTGCCGAACTGGACATCACCTAGTTGTATCCTGCCAAATTGGATCCTGACCTCGCCTAGTTGGACCCTACCGAGGACGAACTGGAAGGTGCCGAACTGACCCTGCCGAGGACGAAATGGAAGGTGCTGAACTGGATTTTGCCGAGGAAGAACTGGAAGATGTCAAACTAGACCTCGCCGAGGACAAACTAGAAGATGTCGAACTAGACCTCGCCTAGCTGGATCCTACCGAATTGGATCCTGCCGAACTTAACCCTGCTGAGGACGAACTGGAAGGTGCCGAACTGGACCCTGCCGAGGACAAATTGGATCCTGACCTCGCCTAGTTGGACCCTGCCGAGGACGAACTGGATGTGGGTGTCGATTTCTACCCATTGTCAAATAATCGTAAATAAGGAAACTTCGGGAAAACCCTAAGTTTCCAGAGGAACCGGCTATCTACGAGGACCGCACAACGAAGATTAAGATAACGAGAAAACTTAGAATTATAAAAAGATAAACGAAAATCGAGAGCAAAGAGGTTCTTATTCCGAATCTGCGTTGAACTGGTACAAAGAGAGTTGCTGAAAACGTAAGAACTAGAAAACCCTAATTGAGATGCAGCTCGCTAACAGAAAAACGGAAAGATTCCTAAATGCTAGTTTTGGTGGTGAAAGCTCTGAATTTTGTGTCCATTGCTTCT